AGGTCAGGAACAAAATTAAATACTTCTTCACACCACACAGAGTTAATCTGTGGCACTCAGTGTCCACTCACTGTGATGCCTCTAAAAGGAGATTAGACAGATCCATGGTGGGCAATTCCTCCCATTAACTTAGATATTAAAGGCTCACCTTCCTTCCACAAGAGGACCTCAAGGTGCTTAAAAGAGAAGAGGTAGACAAACCTTGCCAGAGCTCTTCAGCCTGGTGAATTAAGGAAGCCTCCCCCTTCTGGGGCAGCAGAGCTCTGAACACCAGTTCCTGGGGGCCCAATAATAATGGGGAAATTTGGCTTCTGTGCCCGTGCTTATTGGGACATCTAGTGGGCCACTGTGGGAAATAGGACGCTGGAGTAGGGAGGGTTACCTATGGTCTTGCACATAAGTGCATAAGAGAAGCCATGTTGGATCAGGCCAATGGCCCATTCAGCCCAACACTCTGTGTATACAGCAACATGTATTTAAAGTTAGGATTTTTGGCTCCAATGTGCATTACTTTGTCCTTGGCCACACTGAACCTCATTTGCCACGTTTATGCCCACTCGCCCAGCTTCAACAGGTCCTTCTGGAGCGCGTCACGATCTTCCCTGGTTTTCACCGCCCTGAACAACGTAATGTCATCCACAGACTTAGCCACTTCACTGGTTTGGAGCTTTGGGGAGTGGTTTTGCGAGGGGCTCAGGGCAGATGCGGTACCATCTTGATGTTTCATCTGGCTGAAAGCGGGGTTATGAGGTTGGCATTCCAAGAAAAAGGAAGAATTCATACCCCACCCTTCACTACAATCTCCTTCCCTTCCACTCCCCACAACAGACACCCTGTGAGGTAGGTGGCGGTTGGTTAGAACTCTGAGAGAACTGCTCTTGAGAGAACACCTCTGAGAGAACTGTGACTGAACCAAGGTCACCCAGCAGCTGCGTGTGGAGGAGTGGGGAACCAAACCTGGCTCTCCAGATCATTTTATTATTAATGTATTTTTTCGACATATATTCCACCCTCCAATGTCCCCGCTAAGCTGTGGAGTCCTGCGAGCAAAAATTCTACTTTGTGAGCCACTGGCATTAAAGTAGTGAGCAAGCGATTTGTCTACTGCATAACTTAGTTTGCTCTGGAGCCACCCTTCCGAAGCTAAGACAAAAATGTGTGAGCCAGAGGCTAAAAAGCTGTGAACTGGCTCACACTAACTCAGCTTAGAGGGAACATTGTCCACCACTCTTAGCCACTACATCAAACAGGCAAGAGACACTCTGAAAACTCATTCACATAACCCTTGAGTCTCCAGAAGCGCTCAAGTTACGTCTGGGGCAAATATGACGGAGACGGGTCATGCGACGTCATTTCCACACACACACACCCTCTCCCCCCCCCCCACTGGCCAGACACAGGTCTCATAGAAGTCTGAAATATGTTGATTCTGCCTCTCCCTGATTTTAGTATAAAATGTGTTTTAAAATATGTTGAGTGTGCACAGGGCGAGGTTTCACAACCCTGGGAATGGGGCGTGTGAAGCAGGGAACAAACAAGCAAACACCCTTCCTCCCTCCTTTGTCTCAGTAACAGGCAGTGAAGAGGTGCTGTTGGGCCGTCGTCCTTCCAGAGGTGTGGAAACAGCTGCAGTCCAGGTAGGAGAGATGAGCAGGGGACAGCCTGGGTTCCTCCTCCTTTCTCAGGGTTTTTTTTTGCTCCTGGTGTTTCTATGAGGTGTCTGGGTGAGAGATCCTCTGAACGCTGTTCCCTTTACCCATCCCAAGTCTTACATCCTGTACATTCTCAAACTACTCCCTCCCAGTAGGCAGTCTCTTCCTGACATGATCTCTAATGAGGGAATCTGCTTTTTCTTTCAGGGTCCCTTCTCCTTTGAGGAGGTGTCCGTCCGTTTCACTGAGGCAGAGTGGGCCCTGCTGGATCCGGGACAAAGAGCTCTGCACAGGGAAGTCATGCTGGAGAACTATGCGAACGTGGCCTTTCTGGGTAAGGAGTGTGAATTGCTGCCAGTGTGAGGAGGCATGAGTCAAAATATTGAATAGCAATGCACCGTTCTGAGGCCTGTCCTGCTACTTGGGGAAGGGCTGTGGCTCCCTGGCAGAGCATCTGCTTAGCATGCAGAAGGTCCCCGGTTCAATCCCCAGCATCTCCAGTTAAAAGGACCAGGTAGGCGGTGATGCAAAAGACCTCATCCTGAGACCCTGGAGAGCCACTGCCAGACTGAATAGATAGTACTGACTTATAAGGCCTGAGCTTCATGCGTTCATGTGTGTGTACTTGCACAGGGGCAATTGAGGCCAGTGTCGAGGCAAGAAAATATCAAGACGTAGTAGCACGGCGTGAACATAAAGTTAGCATGCCTTCCCTCTGGTCTATACCCATATTTTACTTTCTGCCTCTCTAGGGTCAGGTGGTCCTAACGACCCAATCAAGGGTACTCCTGCTATCAGCACCCCCCCTAATCCCCCTCTCCCTCCTGGTTGCACGACTGGATACAGGTTCTCACGATTAACTAAGAATCAGATTCTGGAGTCTGCCCTTGAAAAAGATAAGGGTCTTAGCTGCAAGAGACTCGAATCATGAACACCTTAAAGTCAGACGAGGCCAATTAATAATCACATTAACCCTTGGGAGAACTAGGGTGCTTTTCCTTACAGATGCATTCCCCTTAGAGTGGTTGGGATTAAGGGCTTTGATCTTGACCATGGTTCCATCCTTCCAGAAGAATATTTACTCTTGAATTTATTCCATTCCCCATATAAGAATGATCTCTCTCCCTTTCTCTCTCCCCTCCTTCCCAGATGAGCTGGCTGAGCATGAGTATCATTCACAGTTATGTCAAGGGAACAGGCAAGGAATAGCCATGGGGGATTTCTTATTCACTTCTGAGCAACCTTTGGTTTGGTACAGTCATACAGATTGCTGGAAAAGAGGGTCGGGAGGCCTTCTGGGGGCCTGAAATCTGGAGGCTGAGAAGCTCCCTTGCAAGAGCTCAGCAGTGGCTCTTGAGGGGGTGAAGTATCCTTAAATACTAGATATTCTGGGGAAAGGGGGAGTGGTGGTTAAGATCAGTCAAGGTGGACAAGGCCAAAGGGTTGTCTGTCCTTTCCTACATTTAGAGTTGCCAGAACTTGAGAAATATCTGAGGACTTTGGGGGTGGAGCCAGGAGACTTTGGGGTAGAGCCAGGAGACTTTGGGGGTGGAGCCAGGAGCAAGGATGTGACATCACTTTTATGGAAGCACAACAGGGGTAGAAAACACTATGGGTCTCTAACAGTGCAACCCCAAGAACACTTTTCCTGCCCCATATAAGAATGATCTCTCTCTCTCCCTCTCCTCCTCTCCCTCCCTCTCCCCCTCTCCCTCTCCCCCCTGTCCCTCTCCCCCCTGTCCCTCTCCCTCTGAAAGAAACCAGAAGTGTAAGAGAGACTATGGTGGAGATAGGCAACAACCTTGCATCAGAAGAAAGGCTGGAGAGTTCCTCTAGAGTATCCCAAGAGCATATTTCCTTCCCAGATGAGCTGACTGAGAGTGAGTATCCTTCACGGCTATGTTAAAGGAATAGACATGGGGGATTTCTTATTCACTTCTGACCAACGTTTGGGTTGGTACAATCATACTGAGTGCTGGATAAGGGGGCAGAGGCCTTCTGGGTACTGTTCCCTCTATGCCGAGTTAGTGTGAGCTAGCTCACAGTTTTTTAGCCTCCGGCTCACACATTTGTCCCTTAGCTCAGGAAGGATGGTTCCAGAGTAAACTAATTTATGCAGCAAACTAATTTATGCATTTTTTGCTCGCTGACAACTTTAATGCCAGTAGCTCATGAAGTAGAATTTTTGTTCACAAGACTCCACAGATTAGAGAGAGAGCATTGCTTCTGGGGGCCTGAAAACTGGAGGGTCAGAAACTCCCCCCTTCCTCCTGGTTACACAACTGGATACAGGTTCTCACCATTAACCTATGACCACATTCTGGAGTCTGTTCTTGGAAAAGATAAGGAGGTTAGCCACAGGGAGACTGTAATCATGAATGCCAACAAGTGGGACTGGGCCACTTAATAATCACGTTAACCCTTGGGAGAACTAGGGTGCTTTTCCTCACAGATGCATTCCCCTTATAGTGGTTGGGATTGAGGGCTTTGATACGAGGGTTTTGATCCTAACCATGGTTCTGTCCTTCCAGAAGAATTATTACATTTGATTTTCTTTCCTTCTCCATATAAGAATGATCTATCTCCCTCTTTCTCTCCCCCCCCCCCTTCCCAGATGAACTGGCTGAGCGGGAATATCATTCACAGTTATGTCAAGGGAAACGGCAAGGAATATCCATGGGGGATTTCTGATTCAGTTATGAGCAACCTTTGGTTTAGTACAGTCATAAAGACCGCTGGAAAAGAGGGTGGGGAGGCCTTCTGGGGGGCTGAAATCTGAAAGGTGAGAAACTCCTGTGAAAGAGGTCAGCTGTGGCTCTTAAGGGGGTGAGGTATCCTTAAATACTAGATATTCTGTGGTACACTGGAGTGTTAGTTAAGATCAGCCAAGCTGGACAAGGCCAAAGGGTTTTCAGTCCTTTCCTACTGCAGTCATACAGATGCCTTTGGACCTTTCCAGTCCTCCCAGGTGCTAACAGGACCTCTCTCTTTATTCCAGCAGAGGATGATCAGAGGAATGAGGAGGGTGAGGAACTTCATCAGCAAATGCCAGATAGAGTTAAAAAGGAAGACCTGAAAGAAAATGTCAGGAATCGAGGCAGACCGAAGAAAAAGAAAGGCAGCCATATGGCTGAAAAGCGAGATGGAAGACAGTGTAATGTAAATTTTCCAACACACAGGATTATGAAGGCAAGTAAATCTATTCAGAGTGGAAAGTACTTCAGAAAGAGATCACAGCTCCGTGTGCACAAAAGAATACACAGAGGTGAGAAGCCTTTTGAATGCTCAGAGTGTGGAAAGAGATTCAGACAGAGTGGCCATCTTCAACAGCATCAAATAACCCACACAGGGGAGAAACCTTTTCAGTGCTCAGTGTGTGGAAAGAGATTTAAGCTGCATGACCATCTTAAGTCACACCAAAGAACCCACACAGGGGAGAAACCTTTTGAATGCTCAGTATGTGGGAAGAGATTCAGTCAGAGTGGCACTCTTCTACGGCACCAAAGAACACACACAGGGGAAAAACCCTTTGAATGCTCAGTGTGTGGAAAGAGATTCAGGCTGCATAACCATCATCAGAATCATCAGAGAATCCACAAAGGGGAAAAACCTTTCGAATGTTCAGTATGTGGAAAGAGATTCAAGCGGCGTAACCATCTTCAGTATCATCAGGGAACCCACACAGGGGAGAAACCTTTTGAATGCTCAGAGTGTGGAAAGAGATTCAGGCTGCATAACCATCTTCAGTATCATCAAAGAACTCACACAGGAGAGAAACCTTTTGAATGCTCAGAGTGCGGAAAGAGATTCAGTACGCATAACCATCTTCAGTATCATCAAAGAACTCACACAGGAGAGAAACCTTTTGAATGCTCAGAGTGCGGAAAGAGATTCAGTACGAGTAGCAGTCTTCAGTTGCACCGAAGAACCCACACAGGGGAGAAACCTTTTGAATGCTCAGACTGTGGAAAGAGATTCAGTACGAGTAGCAATCTTCATAAGCACCAAAGGACCCACACAGGGGAGAAACCTTTTGAATGCTCAGTATGTGGAAAGAGATTTAGTCAGAGTGGGAGTCTTCAGCTGCACCGAAGGACCCACACAGGGGAGAAACCTTTTGAATGCTCAGAGTGTGGAAAGAGATTCAGGCTGCATAACCATCTTCAGTATCATCAAATAACTCACACAGGAGAGAAACCTTTTGAATGCTCAGAGTGTGGAAAGAGATTCAGTACGAGTAGCAGTCTTCAGTTGCACCGAAGAACCCACACAGGGGAGAAACGTTTTCAATGCTCAGAGTGTGGAAAAAAATTCCATCACAGTGGCAATCTTCAGTCACACCAAAGAACCCACACAGGGGAGAAACCTTTTGAGTGCTCAGAGTGTGGAAAGAAATTCCGTCGCAGTGGCAATCTTCAGTCGCACCAAAGAACCCACACAGGGGAGAAACCTTTTGAGTGCTTAGAGTGTGGAAAGAGATTTCGTCAGAGTGGGAGTCTTCAGCTGCACCGAAGGACACACACAGGGGAGAAACCTTTTGAGTGCTTAGAGTGTGGAAAGAGATTCAAACAGAGAAGCAACCTTCAACTTCACCAAAGAACCCACACAGGGCAGAAACCTTTTGAATGCTCAGAGTGTGAAAAGAGATTCAGTACGAGTAGCAACCTTCAACTTCACCAAAGAACCCACACAGGGCAGAAACCTTTTGAATGCTCAGAGTGTGAAAAGAGATTCAGTACGAGTAGCAACCTTCAACTTCACCGAAGAACCCACACAGGGGAGAAACTTTTTGAATGCTCAGACTGTGGAAAGAGATTCAGACAGAGTGGTAGCCTTCAACTGCACCTAAGAACCCACACAGGGGAGAAACCTTTTGAATGCTCGGACTGTGGAAAGAGATTCAGTCAGAGTAGCATTCTTCAACGGCACCAAAGAACCCACACAGGGGAAAAACCTTTTAAATGCTCAGAGTGTGGAAAGAAATTCAGTAGCAGTGGTGGTCTTCAACAGCATCTGAATATCCACACTGGGGAAAAACCTTTTGAATGCTCTGAGTGTGGAAAGAGATTCAGTCAGAATGGCATTCTTTACCGGCACCAAAGAACCCACACAGGAAAAAACTTTTGAATGCTCACCGTGTGGGTAGAGATTCAGTTTGAGTGGCAACCTTCAAGAGCATCTGGGAATCCACACAAGGGAAAAACCTTTGAATGCTCTGTGTGTGGAAAAAGATTCAGTTTGAGTTGCCATCTTCCACAGGACCTAAGAGCCTACATGGAACAAACATTTTAAGTGGTCAGGGTGTGGAAAGAGTAACAGTAGCAGTTTTCAACAGCATTAGAGAAGTGGAAATTGATTTGAGTATGGAAATCTTCTACACCATCGTAAGTACCCGCACAAGGAGAAACCGTGTGACTACTTAGATCATGAAAAGAGCTCTTCTCTTGTTTCAGACCAAAAAGATAATCACAGACCTTATAAAGCAGTTGAAGCAATATCAGCTCTTGTAGAAAGCTTCAGTCTACATAGAAATCCTAATTTTAACAGGAAGAAATGTTAAAAATGCTCGGACTGTGGAAGGAGCTTTAGCCATGTTTGAAGTCCTCAAATAGACCTCACAAAGAAGAAAGCCAGGATGGGCTCTACCCGTTGAAGGAGGTGATCAGCTCATGTCTCCTTTAGCCTGGAGGTGTCCATAGAAGGGAGGACCATCATAAATGCTCAGTGTTTTGCAAGAGCTTGAGGCACAGATCCCATTTTCGTGATCTCAGAATCCATGCAAGGGTGAAACATTCCTATAAGCTGGTTCTGATGAGGGTCTTCTTGAGATGCCCAGGTTTTGAAGGTTCAGAAAGACTCAGAAAATAGTTACACAAAGGAGGTCCTTTTCAGTAGTTGCCCCCCCTCTGTGAAACTCACTACTTCAGGTTGTCTGCCAATCTAACTCTGACATCTACAAAACTGGCAAAAACTTTTCCTTTCCTAAATCCTGTGAGGAAATAGACAAGTTGAGGTTAACAGATACCTACAGCCTCTCTGCTCCTGGCGTAAAAATAGTATGAGAGCCACTTTGGTGTAGTGGTTAAGTGCGCGGACTGTAATCCGGGAGAACCGGTTTTGATTCCCCACTCCTCCACTTGCACCTGGCTGGATGGCCTTGGGCAAGCCGTAGCTCTGATAAGAGCTGTTCTTGAAAAATAGCAGTTTCTGTCAGAGCTCTCTCAGCCCCACCTACCTCACAGGGTGTCTGTTGTGGGGAGGGGAAGGACTTTGTAAGCAGCTCTGAGACTCCTTCGGGTAGTGAAGGGCGGGGTATAAATCCAATCTCCTCTTTTTCTTCTATGACTAGCCAGCATCCTTAATCCACAAATTAAAGATGACAAGCAGTTCTAGAGAGGCATTACACATTGTAATCTCTCCCCAGTCCAGCCTGCTGTGAGTTTTTTTGGGTGTCGTCACCTTGAAGCCCAAAGATTGGATTGAAAGGAAAAGCTTATGTCCCCCAACCCTGTGATTCAGTGAGTTCTAAGGCTTCTGACCCTCCCAATATATCATTCAGTATTGTGGAAATAGACTGATACCTGTGGAGTTGGCAGGTGAAACTTGTGGGATACAGATGGTCCAATCCCATTTGCCCTCCTCAACCATCCGGGAAGGAGCAGTATGGTTCCCTCCTCTTGCTCAGACACACACCCACCCCAACTCCATGAGCCAGAAATGACCTGGAGTCAGATCTGGGCCAATTTTTACTCCCCACCACTGACTCCTCAGAGGTCCCCTGGAATTCCTCCTTGGAGATTGTGACTTTAGGCAGCAGGCAGAGAAATTTCAACTCACAATCAATCAATCAATCAATCAATCAGTCCTTTATTGGCATATAAAATAGATAAGATGGAAGACAGAATAAAGATTGCTTTTAAATTACCATTGGGTAAATATACCATCGTATTGACTCTTTTTATCTTATCACAGCGCAACTTCATAGCGGATTGTAAATATATAGCCACCTTCTCAATTATACCCAAAGAGGAGTCGTTTGGGATAAAATGAACCTTAATGTGAGCTGAGAATCCCGTCTTATTGGCCAAAACAGGGTTTAGATATTTAGTACGAATTTCTACATAAAAAGGACAATAAAAAAGGATATGTGAAATTGTCTCAGTGCAACCTGACTTACAGGGACAATATCTAGCTGAATATGGCACCATTTGAAATCTTCCGCAGATGGCATAACATTAGATCTGCCCAATGAAAAAGCTGTACGTTGTTGTGGAATTTGAAGCACGTGGAGATATGGAGCCATATGACCTGCATTTAGTGGAATCTCCAAGCTCAAGGGAGAGCAAGTTTTATTGGCTGCACTATAGAGCAGGGGAGTCGAACTCATTTGTTATGAGGGCTGGATCTGACATAAATGAGACCTTGTTGGGCCGTGCCGTGTGTGCCATGAAATGTAATGCAAGGTAGCGGAGATATAAACTATATAAAGGACACAAAGATTTTTTTTAACATTACCACTCTGCAATATTTTGTTTATTTACCAGTGTCTGATAACTGACACCTCTTGTTCTGAGTCATTACATAAAAATGTCTGCGTTGTTGCAATCTTGAGTATGCTGTTCAAGTGTGTATCTCTAAGCTGCAAACCTACTTTTGATTCATTGACATTCACCACAGAAATCTCAGGCTCAGAGTTTTGAGTCCAGGACCCAGATTAAAACATGAAATGGCTGAGCGAGTGAAAGAGTCTGGCGAAGCAAGCTACGATGCAGCAGCAGCAGAACTGGAAGCAGGAGATGGCCAGTTCCACTGCGGGCCGTACCTGGTTTCCTGTACTTGACTTCATGGCTGAAAATAATGTGCTTCCTTCTAGGACGAGTTATCACACATGGCTACACTTTTGAGTTTAACCAGACCTCCACCTTACTGTCGAGACTCCTCTTGTGAATCAGAGCAGCAGATTCCTGAAGATGTTATCTTTTAAACTTGACTCAATTCTGTGGGAATCATAGCTCACATAGCATCTATGTATAGGTGATCAGATTTAGTACTAACAGTTTGTTATGACTGTTGATATATGTTGTAAAAATTTGTATTGATGACTAACTGGTTGGTTTGTAATATTTGATTTTCAGGACAGTTGTATACTGTTTTGCAGTTATTATATTTCTTGATATGTTATACTTCCTCTTAATAAACATTTAAAACCAAAAAAAAATAATAGAAGCCCTCCGGGGGCCTGATTTGGCCCCCGAGCCACATATTTGACACCCGTGCTATAGAGATTTTGCGATTCAATGTCCAAGATTCCGCATTTAATCCTATGGAATGCATCCAATCGGGAAAGCATAGATAGTGAATCCAGGGATAGACCAATAACACTGGTTTTCTTTTAAGTGCAAACTAACTAGTTAGATCAGGGGTGTCGAACTCATTTCTTAGTTGAGCTGGATCTGACATAAATGAGACCTTGTTGGGCCGGGCCATGTGCGTCATAAAATGTAATGCCAGGTAGCGGAGATATAAACTTTATATAAAGGACACAAAAGGGTTTTTTTTTACTTGAAATGAAAACACGCTTCAAACATTAGCACTCTTGCAATATTCTGTTTATTTAACAGTGTCTGATAACCGACAGCTCTTGCTCTGAATTACTGCATCAAAATATCTGTGCTGTTGCAATCTTGAGTATGCTGTTCAGGTGTGTACCTGTAAGCTGCAAACCTACGATGATGCAGCAGCAGCAGAACTGGAAGAAGAAGCAGAAGACAGCCAGCTCCACTGCGGACCTGATAGAAGCCCTCCGGGAGCCTGATCCGGCCCCCGGGCCGCATGTTTGACACCCCTGACTTAGATCTTTCAGATTCTGAAAGCATTTGATAAATAAGACTTAGAGGGATTCAGAATTCCAATGTAATCCCAGCCAGAATTTAATAGTTGCAAGCCACAGCCTGGTTTCAACGAAGGCTTGTCCAGTTTCCAAACTAAGTGCTGCATAAGGCACACAATGCAGAATTCCCAAGATTTTACGGAGGAATTTGGACTGAATACGTTCCAGAGAATGATCAAAAGCACCAATCCAAAGTAGGATACCATATAGCAGTGATGGGCCCACTTTGGCATTTAAGATTTAAGTGCAGCAGGCAGGGTTAATTTCGTAGAAAAAGAGGTGCAGGAGCTAATTAGCATAATTTATTAGCATAACTTATTTGCATATGCCACACACCCCTGACATCACTGGAACTGTGTCAGAAGGCAACACCCACCACTCAGGCTCCACTGGACTGTTTTGGATTGCTAGCTATTGGGGGGGGGATTTGCAGATCTGTCCTCGCAGAGGAGGGAGAGCTTGTACCTGAAGGTGGGAGGGGGGGCTCTGCAACTTACCGGGCTGCTTCTTTTGGCCTGACTGAGGGCTGCTGGGAGCAGGGGGGAGGGCTTGTTGAATGTGCCCGCCCCCTGGGCTCCTTACTGTCGGAGCTCCGCTCCTCTGCGCTCCTGCAGGAAATGACCCCTGGCAGCAGGTACAAATTGGTAAGCTCGGATAAGATCATAAAATTGGTAAGATCAGTTTCTCATGATCTCCTTGAGGATAAGCTGGTTAAGTGTGGGCTGGATGGTGCAACCGTTGGATGGATTTATGGTTGGTTGGAAAATTGTACCCAACGAGTGCTTGTAAATGGCTCTGCGTCTATGTGGAGGGGAGTGCCGGAGGGCTCGGTCCTAGGCCCGGTGTTGTTCAATGTTTTTATAAATGACCTGGAGGAAGACATAGAGGGGATGCTTATCAAATTTGCAGATGACACGAAGTTAGGTGGGGTTGCTAATTCTTTTTTTTATATATACAATATATTTTATTAATATATGCAGTACAATTGACATGAAAGCGTATAAACGTAATATAGTAAAGCACAACATTTACAAGCAGTGTTTATACACATAACAGTGAACAATTATAAACTATAAGTGGTGATCCTTGCAAAATCCATAAGTAGAACCTTAAACATTGAAAAGACAAACACCATAATGTAAAGGGTTTTGATTTGCAGATGACACAAATCTGGGTGGGATTGCTAATTCTGAAGAACATGGAGTCAGGATTCAAAATGATCTATATAGGCTGGAAC